ACTGGGGGAGGGGGCAGCAAGCACAGCCTCACTCCTGTTACCGCTGAGCCAATTTCAGAACTTTTTGACTTTGTTCTCTATTTTGCTCTCTTCTCTGAAATGTTTATAAGGCCACCTTCCACTCTGGGCCCCTTGCTCCACCCTCAACCTCCAAAGGGAATTTTAGTCAGTGCTGCAGAAACAGGGAGTTATAGGGGTCCAAAATCCCTTGAGCTGCTCCATCAAAGCGACGAGCACTCCTCAGTGCCTCATGTTCTGGGGAAGCCAAATCAAAGGCAAACCCTGAATTCCTCTTGCTCACGGCCAATAAAAACCTTGCTTCAGTGCCGGCTTCCTCTGCTGAAATCAGATATCCTAGTAATAAACAAGTCCGAAAGGCTGGGGAAAGCTCTCGCTTCTTCTGATTAGTTTTTCTTCCTTTAAAAAAGTTCTCTCCTAGAACAGGATGCCTGCCCCAGAAACTTGAGCACAGAACTGTGCCCTCTCCCGCCCTGCATTCCCCACTCCAGAATCCTCACTCCTGGGCTCCTGCAGGCGAGGGTGGGGCCTGGCTTCTCGAACACTGCATGGCTTAGCTCAAAGGCAGGTCAAAGGGGCTTGTGGAGAATGGGCCTTTGCTGCCTGGGGAGCTGGCTACCAGCTGACAAGGATAGCTGGGATCTATGGGTGCTGCTGGCCTTCAGAAATGGGAAAGTGGAGTTAGGACAAATTGGGACCGCATTTTCAAGGGCAGTCGTTCTGGATCCTCTCAATGTACCCCAGGTCTGTAAAAAGCCCAGCACCATGGGTTAAGTACACAGTTGAGAAAGCCACACAAGGTGGATCTTGAGGGATTAAAGGAGCTGGGAGGACAGAGGACTGGGGGTTTTGCTTCCTGGGGCTGGCCTCACTTTGCACACCATCTCTCTCTGGAGCTCCCCTTCCGGCCCTGTCCTGTCGCTTCCCAGGGTAAGCGTGTCTCCACATGTGGCCTGCTGTGGAGGAGTGCCCACCCCTACGTGCTGACATGTTTCTCCCCTCAACCCCCCCAAATAGGTTTTTAAGTGACTTTGCTGTCAGAGATGCTATTCTGTTTGTTTTTCCTTCTGACACTATCTCTCCAGAGAATTTCTGGTCAAGAGAATTATGTCGAGGCTGCAGATTGCAAGAGAATTGCGCCTAATGGGGAACAGCCGGACAAGACACCTTTCATGTCCAGCCAAGTTTTTTCCCCCTCTTTTTTTCTCTCTCTCCCAACATCTCATCTTCCCTTTTTGGCTTGAAAGTTGGCTCTACTTTGTGCTAGTTTCTTCAGTACAGCTGGTGAATAAGGTCACACATTGATTTTATTTTGGAGATTGGCAGCTGGGTCAAGCTAACTCCGAAGCGGGAGAGCAGCACAGCTCCCTCCGCTGGAGCGTGGGTGGGGGAAGGCGCAGCCAGCCAGCAGGAAAGAACCGTTTAGAAGGCACTCTGGCACTCAAAGGGTGGCTTCCTTTCCTTTATGATCTCGGAGCTTAGGAGCTTGAGCTTGTAAAATTCAGTTTCATTATAAGAAAGGTGCTCAAAGTCCCTCCTCAGTCCCCACCACAGGCCATTTCAGCTAGTCTGTGCTAGACTTTATAAGAAAAAAAGTGTTAGCTCTGAGGTCCCTGGGGACTTTGACGTGGTTATAGGAGAGGAACTTAAGTTTAAGGGCCTCTACCTTGTAAAGAGCTACTCAACCACACTCAGCCACAGAATACGCCAGTTGATGCAGACTGGGTGGGAAAGAAAGCTCTTTTCTTTACCTATGTGCTTCCTGAGGGGAGAGGGCAGGTTAGTAAAGCATCTTGGTGGACGGTTTGGATTCTTTGGCCTTGAGTCATGAGGGTGATGTAATAGCATTCAACTGATTTCATGGTAAAGACAGTTCCCAGAGCAAATCATTTCCAATTGCACCGTGACGACATCTACCCTTATCGCAGCTCTTCAGGAATTGGTGGGCGAGTCCCTTCCTCCTTCAGAGCTTTGGTGGGAAGCACAGGGCCACTTCTTTATGGAAGGACAAAGATGTCTTGGATTTTAAGAATATCCAGTTTTACCTTGTTCCTCCTTATCCAGCTTTGGGCAACAGAACTTACTGCCAGTCTAACTCTAGGGAGAACAGGGCACAGTTCTTCATGCACGGAGCTTTGCAGCCTGTGGGATAGTTTGAATCTGGGAGAGGAATGTGCGTGATAGAGAAATGGGATCACAGAAAGAGAAGGCTAATTCCACTCAGGCTGGGCTTAATTCTCTCTTCTCATTCTCACTGCTTGTGGTTTCAAAGTTTGCTCTGCATTAAGATGTGTCAGTTCTCAACAATTACAATAGACTAAAAACATACATTTCTTTTTTGGTAATAAATGTTCTTAAATTAAGCCTAAATCTAAAAATACGACACTTACGATTGTTAAAGAGAGACAATAGAAGATGCTAGTGTGGTGTAGTGACCAAGCTCTGGACCAGGAATCAAATCTTTTGTATATTTTTTGCTCTGCCATCAGCCTGCTCTGACCTCCGAAACTTCTCTGGGCCCTGTCCACAAAGGGACACAGCCAGATGGCCTGATTACCAACTGTTATGAGGGTAAAATGAGAGAATATAGGGGATCGTGTTTTAAATGCCATGTTTAAAAAAATAGGGAGAGGAGTACAACTTGAGTATTAAGAGGTTGCGTTGATAAGAAATGCCATCATCAGAATCTCTGAGGAACTTCCTGAGAACAAGGCCTCAGTGGATCGCTGGGAGCCTCTGAGTGTCCAAATCTGAGGCTGGCATCAGACGGTCAAGGGCACACGCCACTGACAGCACTCAGAAACTGCTGGGCTGTATGGGCGGGTCTAACCCAGGATAGCATGCTGCTGTCACTCTGAAAATTTGCATGGATGCTCTCATTGCTTGGATGAAAATCTGGGAGGGTTCAGACCCACTGCCTATCATATGTAACAAAAGACAAAGTCACAACTTTGCTCAATTTTCCACCCAAGGTCCTGGCTGCTATGGGTACACTGGACATGGTTTCCTTTCTTTACGTGTTTGAGTCAGCCTCGCATGGCTCACCTACTTCGTTGTTCTCGATCTCTAGGCACAAGCCAGAGAGCTCTTTATTACTCAGACCATTTCACTTTTCCCAAAGGGCTCTAGAGCCACCATCAGGACCCTCAGCTGAGTTAGCAAAGAAACGAGGTTATCTGAAAGAACCTAGTAGCTCTGTAACAATCAGCCCTACCACTTGGGAAAATCATGTCCTCTCTGGCCTGTTTCTGACCCGTAAGAGACTAAGGGTGAGTCCCTTCCAAGGTAATTTGCTGACCGTGGAGCCTGTGCTTGCCTCCCAGGTTAGCTAATGTCGCCATCTAGAGGCAATTTAAAAGAGTTTCTTCCATCAAGAGGTAACCTCTATTTTTGTAATTTCTGAACCATCAACACTTCATTTTCTTGCTCTTAGAAATTCAGAATCCTTCTTTCATCCACAGTGTGGCTTTGGCTGCATCTGTGACCCAAGGGAAGCCCTTCTCCAAAGCCAGCTGGTACAACGCCAGTGACAGGCACGGCTGCTTCTTATTGGTTCCAATGCCCTCTTCTGTTATACTCTCACTACACCAGATCATAAAAAATAAATCTTTTAATTGCTTTGTAATTGGCACAGATGACATAATTCAAAGTCACATTTTTATTTAATAGACTGAAATATCACACTCTAGCTCTGATTGAAACAGTACAGGAATCATTATGGTTGAAGTTTTAAAAATTATATTCAGCTGTAGCTTCACGTTCTGAAAGTTATTTCATAAAATAAGAGATTGGGGCTTGAATAAATAAGAAAAAACCATCTAGAAAATAACAACCCCGACTAAAGTTATCTGTCATAACTGAGAATTATGCTTTCTGGTTTTAAAATATCTTGCTACTTTATTAACAATCAAGAAGAGCTGCAAAATTCTGGCTTATCGATATAGTGGGTGCTCCTCAGAACAGGAACCTCAAACCCAGGCCTTGTTGAAACTGTGAGTCTGAAATGGCTTTGAAGGAATCTTTCATTTCTGAGGAGCTACGAGATTCACGGGTCTTTGATAAGAAATTATCATAAAGAGGATTATGGTGGAGGAGAAATTATATCATTAACTTCTCATTATTGTAGGACCCAGGGGGAAAAGCTCAAAGTCCTGTTCCTACAGGAGGATGTCAGAGAGTCTCAAGTCCTATTTATGTTATAACCTGTAATTTTCAGGGTTAAGATTGCAGAGTGGCCAATGACACAAACTCTCATTAGCAACAATTTGGGTTTACAGCATTAACTTGAGCCATTTCTTGAAGTTACCTGTACTGCTATTCCAGAGTAGAGACAAATATTTACTGGGTAGGGTGGAAACGAGGCAGTGGGGTGTGGGGGTGGGGTGGG